CGGGCAGCCATGTTGCCGCTGAAGCCGGTTTACAGTGAGATAATTCATACCCCTTCGTTTGAAGTGTGGTCCCGAAAAATCTTCGTTTGAAGGGCTATCTGGCCCTTCCCCTTACCCCTACCCCTCCGACCAAAAGAGAATCGAGACACCCCTACCCCTTCACGTGAATGCGCGAAACGGAGGGGTAGGGGAAAGGGGAAGGTCTAAGGGGTAGAATTGGGATTGGGCCTTAGTCTGATTTATAAAGTACTCTTTTGAACTCGTCTTTTAAGTTGATCCAAACAAAACAAAATCAGAAGTTACCATATGAATTAGTATGATAAATCTGTAAATGAATCTCTTAAAGTGCTTTCTGAATCACCATTAAGTTATCATTACTTCCAGTAGTCTATAATATGTTACAGAATAGGAACTGGATAACTTGCATATAGCGAAATGAAATGGAATCAGATCGGAATCGTGTCAAATCAGGAAATCCATAACCAGTCCTAAACACAAAATGATCATATGGCTTCAGAAGATTTGGAATATATCTCAAGAGTCATATGAACCACTTTTATGGTCCTTGTTGCCACTTTTAAAGCTTGACGATATTTAGTCTCCATTCACTTTGACTGTATGCAAACAAAACTCATTCTTTGAGTCCCTTTAAAGCTTTGCACATTATGTAGATGAAATCAAAAGGTATTACTTTTCCACAGTTTCTTCAGACGTTTATTTTCTTTTAAACCTCTCTTGAGCCTCTTCATCAGATAGACTGCGTTAACGTAGACACTGCCAGGGGCTGTACACCTCCACAGGGGCTCAGGCATGTTACCAACTCCTGGTCCGCCAGCTGCTGTCAGACATCCGTAATCGTATATATGTATCTAAGAAACGTTCAAGCAGATTTATGCATTCAATTTGAACAACTTAAATGGAGAATCCCACATAGCCCACAGCAGTTTTCCTCTGGGCCGAGCATTTGACTTTTATCTGTTGCTGAGAGCTTCGAGTCAGCATCAGGGAGTGATATGCAGCTAAGGAGCGAGAGTGAACACGAGCATCAATCCCTAAAGTAATTATCTCAGCTCCTCCTCATTCCAAAAGGCTAAATATAAGAGAAGATTTTAGCTCCCAGTGGCAGCCATGTTGCCTTTGATAAACGGTGCAACTATAAAATTCGGGTGCGAAAGCGAGTATGTGTGTTTTAGAGTATTCTGCATTCACACAGCCTGGCTAGGAGTATAAATTCTCCTGCGCGCAGTCTGTCTTTCTGCCATGCACAGTCTCTTGCACGCACACACAAAAGCAGATACAGATAGGCGGGCGATTCTGGTTGTGCTAGATTGGAATTGTCAGAGGTGTCACATTAAATGTGCTATTATTAAGTCCAGGCTGAATTTTATGGCCTTGCAGGATCGTAAATTGGTCGACCAGTCCCTTAAATTACGTATCCATCGAGCGATGTGCTCTATCCGTCCTCACTATTCTCCTGCTTTACTTTCTCTTTCTGGCTTTCTCTCTCTTTCTCCCCCTCCCTTTCAGCGTGTACATATACGAGAGCTTGATCTTGAATCTGTGGCCCTGGTTGAAATGGATGGCGTGAGTGTGACAGGATGAGAAGAGAGCGGGATGCTGAGAGTGGCTGACATCGGAGTTCACAGAGGCTTTAGGGGTCACTGTGGCCCTTGGCCAAAGCCGTGACCCTCCTGAGGGAATAACAAGAGAGCCTGTCTCAGTATATCGATCAGGAGAAACTTACAAGGAGCTTTTAGTGCGTTTTAAAAGTTGGGGAGTCTAAAAATCACACTCTGTAGCAGATCTGAACATTTCTGAACTGTTTAAATGTTTTTTGTGGAGAAAAAAAATCTGCTTTTGCTATTGTGAATAAGAAAGTCAATGTACAATACAGAATTAAGTGTTGGCTTGGGTGACATTGTACGGACACGATTCATAAGCGCTGTACAGTTGTTTGCAGCTCTCATCTGTATTTGATTCTTTGAAGCTCAAGGACTTTGAAATGAAGTGTCTTTATGGCCAATATTTCACTTCAGCTGACCTTGTCTATCAACTCTTGATCTGATGTATTGATGACGCTTAATTAAAACACACTCTGGGTGAATGGGTTCAGCTGATAGGCAGAGGCGGACAGCAGATAGATCAATAACACAGATCAGGGAAATGAAGATCTCAGGCTCTCAAAGGAGAGATAAAGATGGTGTTTAACAGATTAACATAAGAACTGAGGTGATAAAGCAGTAAAAAAATCATTAAATTATAAGCACTTTTCTCTCTCGTGAGAGCCAGCTAGCAGAGCGCAGTCAACACTTAATTAAAGTTCGGGAAAAAGACTGCTGCTGACCATAAGCCAAACATAAACCGACTTTACTGATCCAGTACTACACTAGACTACGATTCAGATTATTGGTAAATCTCAGAAAACGTACTGAGATTGACCCCAAAATAATTGCTTTTTTTTAAATTAAACCTATTTTAGGACCATTAACATTTTTTGCACCGTGACACACAATTCTCATTTCCATAATGCAAAAAAGATATATTTATTTAAATTTCAATTTAAAGGCTGTATAAGAAATGCCACCATTACATATAATTTATGCTAGTTTAATGAAAATCACCATTAAAAATAATAGGAAATGCTAGATGCATGCAAAGTGATGTGCTTAATGACATCTATATAATGTCACAATGTAATTTCTTTTAATGCAAGTCAAATGTCTCTTAACTTTTGAGAAGTTGTGGAATTATTAGGAATTGAAAAAGTTGCATGCCACATTTCAGTGCATGAAGAGCTGTTTTCTTTTTCCAGATGGCCACAGAGGTGTTGGAGGATCTTCTGGAGGAGGATGACGAGGTTGTGGAGGTTTGTGTTTAGTTTATTATATTTTTTAAATGGTAGAAGTGCTGTTACTCATTTCACAAGTTAGCCAGTTATAAAACAAATTGGATTAATCTAAATAAGTCATGCCAGACTAAGATGACAGAATGTTAAAAAATAAAATAAATGACTTGCTTTTAACATTTAAGGTGTTTGTTTCCTGTTGTTGTGGTTGTGTATTATCAGGCCCATCCTACCAGCTCCACCTGGTAGGATGTTTGACACCAGCATTTGATGCATTGCTCACTGACAACTGGATTAATAATATATGGCATTGTATCCTGCTGAAACAGTAGTCCTTTTGTGTGAAAGTGCTGTGGTCTTCACTTTACATGATTAGCTATGGAAATTCCGATCACAATGCTAGGGTGGCTGAAAATGAGGTACTTAGACTTTGTACTTTGATGGACCAGCATGCACACACATATTTCATCTTTTTTTCCACGCCCTAATGCCACGTAAATTATGGTTTGCTTTGGTGCCCCACAATACATTAAAAAGCATTATTAAACTAGAAGGCATACTGATCTTTTCTTCAGACTTGATTAAAAATAATTTATACACTACAAACAACATCCGGAGTTGATACATAATTAATGAGCTAAACTGAAGCCATTACATTATTAAACAAATGAATATGAAACGTAGGGCTTTGAGAGATTTTATTTTTTAGAACTTTTATCACCAGTCCTGCTGGATGCTTTGATATGTCGGAATCGGAACTGGACAATGAAATTCCTTTGATTCCCATCCCTAGTCTATGCTCTGATGAGTCCAGTCCCACACACACACTCTATCTCTTTCTCTCTAATAGATATCTGACAGATTGAGAGCGCTTACAGAGTGTTCTGAACATTCGGCTCAGGAGAGTCAGAGAGTGTGAAACAAAGAGACAGAGAGAGTGGGAGTGAGAGATGTTTGAACTCTGTGGTGTGTTATTGAGACATCAGAGGAGGATATAGAGTGTAACAGTAGGTGATAAAGTGAAGAGCACTTCAACACAGCACAATAAAAACATGCGCACACAACCCATCCCCACAGCCCATTTGCATCTGACTTCCCCTTATTCATTATTCTCATTTTTCTGGGTTCAAACAAAGCTGCCCGATTGTTTGTTTCTCCCTCTCTGTTTGCCGCAAAATAAGGTTATTTTAATCCTGCCTGAAATCAAATATTTATAGCGCTGACAGAGTGCACAGGAAGTGCTTTAGTGTTTGTTTTGTTAATTACAAGTGTCTGACTGACTGTCTCTCATGTACCCTGCTCTTTATGTATGTACTGTAGGCAAGAGTGGGGTAAACTGTGCCAGATTTTACATAATTTATCCTATAGGCCAGTATTCCCAAACCCTCTTCCTGGAGTAACTCCAACTCTGCAATTTGGAACCAATGGGGAATATGGGACTGATTTACATTGGAAAAAAAGTATATATATATATACAGTGGGTACGGAAAGTATTCAGACCCCCTTAAATTTTTCACTCTTTGTTATATTGCAGCCATTTGCTAAAATCATTTAAGTTAATTTTTTTTCCTCATTAATGTACACACAGCACCCCATATTGACAGAAAAACACAGAATTGTTGACATCTTTGCAGATTTATTAAAAAAGAAAAACTGAAAAATGCTCAGTATTTAGTAGAAGCACCCATTTGATCTAATACAGCCATGAGTCTTTGGGAAAGATGCAACAAGTTTTTCACACATGGATTTGGGGATCCTCTGCCATTCCTCCTTGCAGATCCTCTCCAGTTCTGTCAGGTTGGACGGTAAACGTTGGTGGACAGCCATTTTTAGGTCTCTCCAGAGATGCTCAATTGGGTTTAAGTCAGGGCTCTGGCTGGGCCATTCAAGAACAGTCACAGAGTTGTTGAGAAGCCACTCCTTCGTTATTTTAGCTGTGTGCTTAGGGTCATTGTCTTGTTGGAAGGTAAACCTTAGTTCCAGTCTGAGGTCCTGAGCACTCTGGAGAAGGTTTTCGTCCAGGATATCCCTGTACTTGGCCACATTCATCTTTCCCTCGATCGCAACCAGTCGTCCTGTCCCTGCAGCTGAAAAACACCCCCACAGCATGATGCTGCCACCACCATGCTTCACTGTTGGGACTGTATTGGACAGGTGCCTGGTTTTCTCCACACATACCACTTAGAATTAAGGCCAAAAAGTTCTATCTTGGTCTCATCAGACCAGAGAATCTTATTTCTCACCATCTTGGAGTCCTTCAGGTGTTTTTTTAGCAAACTCCATGCGGGCTTTCATGTGTCTTGAACTGAGGAGAGGCTTCCGTCGGGCCACTCTGCCATAAAGCCCCGACTGGTGGAGGGCTGCAGTGATGGTTGACTTTCTACAACTTTCTCCCATCTCCCGACTGCATCTCTGGAGCTCAGCCACAGTGATCTTTGGGTTCTTCTTTACCTCTCTGCTGCAATATAACAAAGAGTGAAAACTTTAAGGGGGTCTGAATACTTTCCGTACCCACTGTATATATATGTGTGTGTGTGTGTGTGTGTGTGTGTGTGTAATTAACATACTAATGTACAATTCCAATCTAAAGTCTGTTTGTTGCACATTATTCACATTTTAATAAACCAGTCAGGAAAAGGTTGTAATAATCAGAAAATTTGTATATAGTGCAAAAATAGTCAACATTTTGTAATAGTATTACCTGCATTTGAAAGCAAAGCTTTAATTTTAGTTAAACAACAGACACAGCTTACCCCAAAAAAATTTGGTTTTATAAAACAAAAAAAAATATTATTATAAATTGTCAATAATTATTAGCAATTTTTTTAGCCAGATAATCAACATTTTTATACAATGTTTAAACCTATAAATACAATATATATATATAAAACAATCTTTTTTATATTATATATCTATTTTTTATTTTATATATTCATTTATGTATATGTATTTTATTCTCTTTCTGTTTCAGGTCTGGTATCTGTTGGGATGGCTGTTTTATTTGCAGCTGGACAAACAAGACTTGACAAGCAACGGTGTGAACTTCAGAAAATCAGCTTGGACGTACCTTAGCAAGGCCAAAAAGGTACAGCTCACACACATACATACACACTGTTCTTTTGGAAATGATGAGGCCATCTGATTTCATCTTGGCGTAGTTTTCATTCTCCCCCACATACAGTGCACACACACACACACACACACACACACATTTTCTACCTGGCTGATTTCTCTACTCCTCCCTTGGTCCCTTCTCATTTTTTCCATCTGTCATGGCTCTCTTAGCGTGCCGTCAGCTCTTTTTCTACTGTGAAATTTCTCAAACTCTGCTGGTGTCTGAGTGCTATAGAAATGGAAAATGAAAGCCAAAGTTTGAAAGAAAACGAGAGCGGGAATAGCTTGCAGGGTGAGGTATGACAATATAGCTCTTTTTTTTTTTACCAACCCCTGTCCTTTTCTCTTCCTCCTCCCCATTTCCATCTCTTCCTCAGGCTTTTCGCTGTTTCTGGACTTTGGTTCTCTCTGAAGAAATCTTTGGTCACTGCATGTATTCTCTTTTGTTCCTCTTTCATCGGTTTTCTGTTTCTACGTCTCTCTTGTTCTCTGATGGATCTGTTGTCATCCGTCTTTCTTTACCTCTGCTTCACCTTGCAGTCTCTCATTTTCTTGTTATTGCAGAATGCACTACTGATGGGTAGTTATGGCCAGCCAATAGGAAAGCAGGAGAAATATATCTCAGTACTCTTATTGATCCTAGTGGCTTTTCAAGGTCTCAAACATGTAAACCTTCATATTAAACAGCTAGACGAGACGTAATACAAACTCAACACCCAACACTTCAAGTAAAAACCTTCATGTAAAGTCTGGGTTTTAACCTCATTAATAAAGTAAAAGTTATGGGATATACAAATGGATAAAGAAACATGACAAAAAAAATACCCAATGGGTAAAATATAATTGAATTGTAATAATTTCATATATTTTATTTTATATATATTTTTGTATTATTTTGCTCCTTTATAAATGTATAAACTCATTTATTGTGTTACTTTAATAATATATTACATTTGTTTATGTATTTCTGTTTAATTCTTGCACTTATTTCTGAATTTATTTGTGATAATGAGAGGGCATGGTCTTCCATGGCATGGTCTTTAATACAGTGGGTTTGATGATTTTTTTTAAAAATAAAATGTAGGTTGGGCTTATGTTTTAATCAAAATTTGGAAGTAAAAATATAATTATACAATTAATTATGAACCTATGCTCTTTTATTTCAGAGTCATTTAAGAGTATCTCTCCATCTGCATAATCTAGAAAGACTTCACAAGGTCTTTGGAGTTTGTCTACTGTTTAAATCTGTGAAGAAGAATCTCTGTTTGTGCTGCTTTATACATTTTTTAAAAGGAAATTTGAGAGTAAAAATGAGCTCATGAGCACAAAATATGTAAACAAGACCTGAAAGTCACGCTCTTGGCTTTGATTTAGACTTGTGAATATTTAATTACTTTCGCTAACGTCTCAATTATTCATCTGCTCTTTAATCAGTGCCCCATATTGGGCAAGCTTTTGTTAGCCGTGTCATTAATATGGCCATAATAAAGCAAACAGTAATTATTTATTAATTAGCCTTTTAGAAGGTCATCTCTCTGCACTGTGAGATATACTGCCAGTTATGAATGAGTTGCTAGTATATTGCTTAGTTTTAAAAGTGATAAACTTTCAACTTTTAGTAATAGAATCGTCTAAACTGTTATTAAATCTGGTGATCATGTACATTTTTGACCTTTGAGAAGAGAATATTTCAATAGCATCATAAAGAGCCTTATTTTCTGCACCATTTCTCTAAATGGTAAAAAATTGGTGGTAATTGAAAATTTGCTGAAAATGTACTCACCCTCAGGCCATCCAAGATGTAGATGAGCTTGTTTCTTCATCAGAAACAAAGTTGGAGAAATGTAGCATTCCATCACTTGCTCACCAGTGGATCTTCTGCAGAAAATGAGTGCCGTCAGAATGATGTAATGCTATATTTCTCCAAATCTGTTCCAGAGAAGAAACAAACTCGAGAGTTGGAGAAATGTAGCATTCCATCACTTGCTCACCAGTGGATCTTCTGCAGAAAATGAGTGCCGTCAGAATGATGTAATGCTATATTTCTCCAAATCTGTTCCAAAGAAGAAACAAACTCATCTACTTCTTGGATGGCCTGAGGGTGAGTAAATTTTCATTTTTGAGTGAACTATTCCTTTAAACCTATAAAACAGAAATGTATTTCCATTTTCTGTAGGAAAAAAAAAAGATATTTTGAACAGTGGATCTGGGTTTATTGTTCCATACAGTCGGCGTGAAGAATCCAATGTTGATTTGAACACTAACTTAAATTGAATGGACAAAAGTGAAACATCTTCTGTGTTTTATAGATGAAAGTCAAAAGAACAAAAAATTTGCTTTAATACATGCATACGTACATAAATATTCCTTATATCTAAAATGGGGACTTATTTTGAAATATATAATAATTACATTGTTAGCTGTTGCCCAACTGCTGTTGATTGCAACTCCAAAAAGTATTTCCATATATTTTTGAGTCTTCAGTTTCATGCCTCTGCTTTAGTGAGCATTAGCAAGTTGTTGTGAAATTGATGGCTCCTGAGCTAATCTCTTGATTACAACCTCGATTTTTCTCCTGAATCGATTGATTTCCCCTGCTCCTCTGACTTAATTAGCTTGTGGCTACTCTGCCTGCTGCAGATTTGTTTTCTGTGTCTGTGCTCATATTGCCTTTTTCTACCTTCATCCCATCTTTCTCTTGTGTCCTTACTCTCCGCTTGTTCCTCCGTCTCACTCTATGACTTCAGGTAGAGTTCAGATTCCACTTTAGCCGCTATTCACCATTGATTTTCTGCCTTCTGCTCAATGTCCAGTTCTTTACACGTTTATCCCTCAATATACCCACCTCTCCTCCCCCTCCATACCTCACTACCTCTCTTTTCTCGTTCTTTCACTCGTGCCATTCCTCATTACCTGTCTTTACTCCCTCTATTCCTTGCTAACTCTCTTTTCTTCTTCTTTTGCTCAGTACTTTTTTGTGTGTGGTCCTGTTTATACTTACACTTATCTGTCTTGCTGTTTCGATCACAAGTGGTCAGCCGAGATTTATTGCTGCTTATTCCTGGTGTTAAAGGATTAGTTCACCCAAAATCGAAATTGTATCCCCCTTTTGTTGTTCCAGGCCTTCATGATTTTTTCTCTGTCCATGGAACACAGAACATTTTAAATAATATCTTGCTCACTCTTTTCAATGCAAATACAATGAATGAGTCTTTCAAGCTTTAAAAAGTATGTGAAAGAACCATAAAGGGATCAGTAATGTGGTCTATGTAATTCATGGTCCATATTCTAAGTCCTGATAGCTTTTTGTGTGGAACAGACCAAAATGTATTAGATATTTTTCAATTTTTCAGATGATGTCAGTGTGGAAGTTGTAGCTCGGGATTAAGATCAGTTCAGTTCATTAACAAATCATTTTGATTTTGGGAATTCATTGAAATAATCTGACTCAAGAATTTTGCTTTTTGAAAAAAGGAAAGTCATATACTGGTAGGTTGGGAAAGACATGAGCTGAGCAAACAATTACTGAATCCTGATCAAAGAATCCTGAAAAAAAAAAACAAATATCACAGTTTCCACCAAAATATTAAGCAGCACATCAGTTTTCAACATTGATAATAAGAGGAATTGTTTCTTGAGCACCAAATCAGCATATTAAAATGATTTCTGAAGGATCATGTGACACTGAAGACTGGAGTAATGATGCTAAAAAATAAAGCTTTGCCATAACAGGAATAAAATACATTTTAAAATATATTAAAATAGAAAACAGTAGAAAACATCAACATATTAAGTTGCATTTATATTTCACAATCTTACTTTTTATGGTATTTTTCACTAAATAAAAAGCTGAGCCCAAACTTCCAAATGGTAGTGTGTACTGTATATTAGTTTGTTTGCTTTACATTAGCAGTTACGGATGCATTTTTGGCATTTCCAAGTAGTTTTGTGATCAAATCACTTGCAGTGTATTTTAATGAGTTGGCCTGTTTTTCTTCCTCAGTTTTTTTTTTTTATTCCTATCATATTTCATGTCACTATCTCTTATTTCTTTCCATCAGCTCATTCTTCTTCTCTTCATCCCTCAGTACGTCTCTTTTTATTCTTCATTACCTCCGTCCCTTGTCCTGTATTGATCTGGACCGTATTGATTGAGCTTTGAGTGCATGACCACATTTTCAGCCATTAAGACTCAAAACACTTTTGCATCTCTTCCAGGAAATGTTATATTCACTCAGATACACTGGAAGAAAACAGCTTTAAACATAATTGATTTAACTGGAATGTGAAAAGAGCGTGAAGACTCACTCTTACGCACATTAACAAACAAATTGTTCAACTGTTTATATTAGTTCCTCAAGGTCACACAAGGTTTGTCACTGTGTGTGTAAGTAAATGTGCTTTTCATGTGTTTTGCTAGGGGTGATTTTAAAAGCTGCCAAGTTAAGTTACAGACAGAGCAATGAGACCCTCAAAACGGATCATTTTGCCATTTTGCACCCATGGCTGCGTGAGACGCTTTACTAACGCTGCAGGAACACTGTGACACACAAGATCTATATTGCCACACAGAACAAAAGCTGATGAAATGCCTTCCGAATTTTTCTTTCCTCAATTTCCCCTTGAGGATCGATAAAGTGTGACTGTCTATTCACGAAGCAAGAGGCTGGAGCATATATGCATCATAACATAAACATGATAAATCATTATATGTTGGATTATTAAATGTAGCCTTGCCTGGTGTTTATATGCAGATTTTGTCTGAGATTTTATAGTTTTATGTGTATTTGTATGTATTTCCCACACATGTATTTTTCTCAACCCTATGCTTTGAGTGCAGTAGATTTGAACACATCTGAACCCATAGCTGTCTTTCACACACACACACACACACACACACACACACACACACACACACACACACACCCAAGAGCATGGGTTCGATTCCCAGGGAATCCATAATCTGATAAT